AAAAAAAAGAAAAAAAAAGATAATATGACCTACTTAGGGTAACTGAGGTCCTGTATATCTTTTTAAATTCTTTATATTTCTCGGTTTTGTGTTACCGCAATCATTATTGTTATTATTACTATTGTATTTGTATAAGTGACGCATTCACTTTTTTTCAATTTGAATTGTGTGTTTCTTTGTTTTTTTTTCTTTTTGTTTTTTTTTTTCCTTCTTCTCAGATGCAATTCTCTCTTTCTCGTTTTTGTCCTTATTTTTTTTTTATTTCCTACTTGCTTTTCGTTAGTGATTTATGTTTCGTTTTGTGTGTGTGTGTGTGTGTGTGTGTGTGATTTTTGCATACATTTGCTTGTCTAAATACATGCATTTGTATCTATTTTTACATTAATGTATGTATTTATCTGGTGGTTGTAGTTGCTGTTCCACCTCTATTTTTACACTGCAAGCGAATGGTACGAAAGCTATATTGGAAAAGTGAAAAGAGAAAGAAAAGAAAAAAAAAAAGAAGAAAAAAGATAGTTCCATGATTGTAAAACGAATTTTTTTTTTCTTTTCTTTTACTACTACGATGTTTTATTCAATCGTAAAGGGCACACATATACGTATATATATATATATATATTCTCTGAAACACAAAAAAAAAAAAAAATGCATATTAGTGATTCCTTTTATTATTGTTGTGTTTCTTTCTTTTTTTTTCCTTATTTTACCTGTGCTCTCATATTTTCGCACTTTTTTTTTTTTCTTTTCCCTGTGTTACTGGACCAGTAATAATCCTCTTTGTTTGTTTGTTTGTTTTTCCCTTTTTTCTTTCCTCTTACTGTTGTTGTTATTATTATTATTATTATTATTATTATTATTATTGATAACGCATGAATTCTTTTTATTTCCCTCTTCTTTTTTCTTCCATCATTACTGTATATATATATATATATATATATATATATATCTGTGAATGGGGATTTCTTTACTGTAGACGGCGATGAACATACAGTTCCTCGCTGAAACCGATCCATCGCCAAAGCAACAAGAGGAACACGTAAATAATAAGAAAGAAATGAACACCGATGTGAATATCACATCTCCACCGTCAACTAGTCTTCTAGTGCGCTTTCTACACTTTCTCTGGGCCTGCCACAGTCATGTGGATCTCCCACTGGAGCGTACTCTCCAACGTAGTATAGAACTCGCCCAGTTTACAGAGTCTATTCAGTCACTTTGTGTTCTTCCACGACAACAATTGCATGTGCGATGGGCATTATGGGAACTTTTACATGATGCCGTGGTCCGTGAGAAACATGTGGAGGAAATGGAAAAACAATCACGTTTGTATGGTGGTGGATGGGCAAAGAATATTGCACGACGAACATCACCGTGGACATACTCTGGAGAACATAATAATAATAATTATGATAATAATAATAGTGGTAGTGGTAGTGGTGGGAATGATCCTACAACTTTGGGAACTAGTAGTATTGGTAATAGTAGTACCAGTAATAATATGAGTACGACTACTATTCCTACTAATAATAATAGTACTGGTAGTAATAATAGAGCTAGTGATTATTATCATTATTATCATTCTTCTTATTATTATCATCATGGTTCAAATAAGAATGGGGCTGGTGGAGGAATGACTGTTCAATTCTCAAGAGAAATGACTGAAGGAGAGGAAGATGCGTTACTTGCAGCTCTGCGGGCCCGTGGACATTATCACGCCCGTCTCCCACGCCATGCCAATAACTGTTCACGACGTAGTCGAAAAAATCATCATCATAATAGTAATAGTAATAGTAGTGGGAGTGGAAGTGTTAGTTCATTTAATGGTTCTCCTATAGATCCCAACAATCTAGATAGTGTTCTTGGTCCTGTAGCCTCTCTCACTAGTGGATGTTCTCTCTGTATGGCGGAGGGTCTTCTGCAGAGTTGTTGGATGTGTGGACGTTTACTACAACTTATAGACACTGTTGCCGCCTCACATCTCTGTGCGGCTCCTCTTATTATTCCAAGTGATGTTTTGTCTATTACCCCACATGAGGCTATGTGTGTAGCTTATCATGTGGCACAGCAACAATTACAACTTAGTATTTCACTTCTTCTTTCTATTGTGATGGAACCGGAATTGTCTACATTATCTCCATCCTCGTTATCTCCATCCTTGTCTACACTGCGTGTGACGGCAGAAGATGAAAAGAAACATCACATAAAGGCTGCAAAAGCTATTGCGGCAGTAGCACAGCAAGGATTAGATCTCTGTGTTCATCTTCTCACAGCACTACGTAGTTTGCGGGGGGAAAATAATGTGTATATAGTTCTTTTGCATGCTGCCACGTTAACATTCTGCGATCGAGACGGTGTGAGTAAAGCCAAACAGCTGATGAAGAAATTTGTGACATCATTATTATTAGTAGATGCGGCACCAGGAGCAGAATCAATATCAACAACAACAACTACTACTACTAGTACTACAAGACGGAAAGCGAAAAATAATAATAATAATAATAATAATAATAATGATAATAATAATGATCTTTACAATATGTGGCTTAGTATAGAGTCTTTAGTAGAATTAGGTGATGGAGTAGAAACCAGTGAAGGGCAGACATCACCGTCGTTGTTGCGAATAGAAGAAGTAACCACAGGTGTACTCTTCACAGTATACCTTGAACTCCTCCAGTTAAGGGAATTACCCCTCTTAACTACACCTCATACCTCAGAAAAGGATAAACATATAAATGATACTATAGAAGTTAGAGAAATGGCAATGAATGTCTGTTGTCGTGCACGAGATGTACTTGATACGATTGTACAACCACGTTTACTAAACTTGTGTGATGCCGCGGATGGAGCTGTATGTACACGTGGAGTTCAACTACGATCTCTTTACTGGCTACTACGTGGAACCCTCTCTCATATTTTAAATACACTTTGCCTTTCACCAACCAATTCCACCATTTCGTATACATTCAACAAGGAGGAACCATTAGAGTGTATGCGTGAGGCGGTGAAGGGAAGTGAGGCGGCGCGGGAATTTCTCGGTCATCCATTAGCACCGGATTGGATCAACACAATACATCAACCACGTAATTCCCCATCTAGTAGTGATATAACTAGAATGACTACCACTACGGATGTTGAGAGAAGTGAGAAGAAAAATAAAAAGGAAGAAGAAGAAAAGGAAAAGAAAGAAGAAGAGGAGTGTATGTATGGGATTGGGCGTTGGCGTTTACAGGTGGAGTTGAATTCTCATGATGATAATAATGATAATAATAATAATAATAATAATAATAATAATAATAATAATAATAATAATAATAATAATAATAATAATAATGGGCGGCGGCCTGACGGTGGGAATGAATCTAAACAAGAGTATATCTCACTATCACCACAGGAACGTGTCACTCAATTGGCACTCTTACCACTACCCATCATGCGATTGTGGTTTGTTCTCGCCCGTACGGTATTTCGAAGTGTATCTGCAGATCTTGTCTCTCTACGTGCACGTGAGGATGTACATAACTCAACATCAACAACAATAATAAAGCCAATGGCATCATCTACAGATCCACTCCCTGCTGTTCATATGGCTACTGCTGCTGCTGCTGCTGTTGCTGCCCATGAGAATAATAATAATAATAATAATAATAACAGTGGGAATAAAAAAGAACGAAAAGGTGCGGCCGCCGCTGCCCAACGAGCCGCCATGGCACAACGGGAGAATCAACATCAAATGGAAGAGACACAACGTCGTACTGAACACTCATCACTTGGTTTTTGGTATCGCTGGCATAAAGCCATTTATACACATTCTCTTATGTCTCGCAGGATGAGAAAAGGAATAATATCATCTCTTCTTGGCCGTTTTCAGCAGGTGATGTGTTTTGTGAATGAAGATCCTTCAACTGTAAAGACACCGTTTATGCGTGTGTTAAGTGAGGTTTACCCCATTGCTGCAAGTCAGCAAGAGGCATTTACAGCAGCCCAACTCATTGATCCTGATCTTCTTTCTACACAAGAAGAAGAAGATAAGGATAATAATAATAATAATAATAATAATAAT